TCGTCATCGTGTTTTCTGTTCTGCATAGTATAAATACGCATACACATGCAGCTCGAGACGTCGACTGTTCGACATGTACGTAAGCGGCTTCGTAATATCGAAAAGGTGTTCGGTCGCAATTAATACGGCCACGTATTTATAAGCCTGTAGGTACGTATTATATGCGCATGTGTGACAATGACCGCAGTGAAAGTATTCCGAGCTTGCTCGGCAACACAACTCGTATACGACACGCGAAATAATTTAACTCGGAGATCGCGACTCGCGATATTCTCTCAGTATTTTTTAGTTCACTCCGATAAGGGTGAGCTTTTATAGACTTATACATAATAAGCTCGGAGCTCTCTGCTTGTGTGTTTGCATGTACGTACATCTAGCGTACAGCCCTGTACACATGAATATTCTGGGTTAATGTTTATGTGCGCGCTCGCGCTCCCAATGCTATATACAGATGCAATTTAGCCCAAGCGGGCACTGCTAGTTAATTCGAGAAAATTCAAATTACGCGAATATAATGTTTGGTTAATAAGTCCGTCGTCGCGAGCGCGAGCTAGATATAAACCGCGTCGCACAATGATACATTATTTCATTTTCAACTGGGCTGCACGCGAAAACTTTTCGGGTACAGTTCGGGTTACGCGCAGCAACGGTGAAAATAAAGCTAATAATGGAGTCAAATTCGACGAAGCCGGGAGGCTCTATTTGACACATAAGCGACAGCTGTCGACTTAAAGAGTCTCGCAGACGCGCACCTCTCCTTGGAAACAAAAAATCTCGCTCATCTGAGGACGAAGATAATTCGTTGCAGCGCACCGCACGACGATCATATTTTCCTCTCGACGGTCTGTTTCATTTGCCATCCACTGTAAAGCACATTTATATTGCATGATTACACAGCGCGTATAGTACAGCTCGAATCAAATAAAAAGTGCTTGTAATAATCTATTTGCCGTGTATGGGAGTGTATTTAATTGAAGCCGTCGCTCTTAATTGATCGCCGTTCGATCTTTATATACACTTGCTCGGTGCGCTTCGGCTTCTGTTGGATCGCGCCCGAGCTCTCTGAGCGCTACTGTAATTAAGCGATATCCGCCCTTTTCCTATATAGACTTTAAAGATGTATAAAAAATGAAGAAAACGAAGGAGGGGAGAGGCTCGAAAGAGCGAGAGAGAAAGGGAGAAAGATGACTGAAAACAAGACCGACTACGTCTCTCTTTTGTATGGCAGGCGACACAGCCCATGGCGCTTCCCTCCAAGTGTGCGCCTTGGCCTCTTCTTCTTCTTGTCGACTCACGTCCTGCGTGCACGTATACGTATAGGCGCGTGTACTGCCGCCTGCACGTATATAGATATACGTATATATAATAAAACGCATACATGCGTACGATAGGAGAACGAGAGAAGAGTCCCCTCGCTTAGGGTAAACAGTAGTTCCATCATCGTTTTTTGAAGAGCACACGCCCGCGCGTACACTTATATATATATATATAAGTATAGCGAGCGCGATATTTTTTGCTCGAGAAGACTCTATCTGAGCTAAGAAGAAGACGAAGAATAAGGAGCGAGCGAGAGGGGCACGAAGCCTGCAGCGTGGCGGCGGCAGTACAGCGGCAATTATGGAAATTGAGAGGGCGGGCGAACAGCAAAGTCGCGGAAGTTATTCATTGGACTTGTTGCAAGTTTTTGCCCAAGGTACGCGTATAAGTACGCAGCTTGCGATGTGATTTATTGTGATTGCGTTGCATCATTGTAGTCATCGTCATCGCGCGCGCATCAGCTCATTATAATAGCGCGGCCGCATGCAACTTCCACGAGCGAGTAATATTTTCGCGTATAAGCGCGACGCGCGACCAGGATAATTTATAACACTCGCGTCGGGGTCCATTTTCGGAAAGACGACGGCGAAAAAAAAGCTTTATACGCGTGTATCCCTATCTACTTGGCGAGTAATATGAAGATTTAAGCGCACTCGCTAGTCGTACACGAAAAACCATTAAATTTCATTAATGCGCGTCAGTCTTGCAGCGTGAAAAACGATAAATCAACTTTGCCGTGATGGCACTTTATATCTGAGCAATTCGCGCGCGTACATTTACGTATACGCATACAACAGAAATCATCCGCTACCGGCGCGAGAGCTGTTTAAATTGAAACCTCTGCAGCGGCGAGGAGGAAAAATGGCGACTGAGAAATAATTAGAGCTCGTCCCCCCCTCTGTATCGTATACGGTAGCAATTCGAGTCGAGCTGTGCAGTGTACAAGGCAACGAGGCAACGAGGCAACGAGGCAACGAGCTGCCGCTTCTACTTCTTCTTCTCCTGCTCCTTCTTCTTCTTGGTGAGAATAAATAATCACACGATCGCAGCACTTACGGGGAAAACTCGAGCGCGACGGATAGACTTTTCGCGCAAAAGGGGAAGTATATCAGATCGCAATCGCATATATTGCACCGTGCGCGAGCCCGCAAGAGTACTCGCAGAGAGCGCAGTAGTAGTGGTGCTGCTGTATATGCTGCTGCTCCGGAAGAGCAGATGCACCGGTAGCAAAGTAGTGTACCTATATACATAGCACACGCGATATGCCACAGCTCGCCGATCGCAATCGCATAAACACGCATAAGCCAATGGAGACAAAAGCCGCGAAATTTCGCGACGAAGGGTGTGGCGAGAAAGAGGAAGTGGGCCGAGTTTTTTTTCTACGCCTCAACCTGCCTCGCGCGAGAGGGGAAAGAAACAAACCTTTTTAAAAAAACTACGTGGTGGTGGTATTTTTCTCTCACGCGCATCGCCTTTTCGCGATCGCTCCTTACGCGCGTCTTATATATACGGCAGTGGTGGGAGCGAGGAAATAATTTTTTTCACTTGCAATGGCTGCAGACCTCGCAACTTTACGTGTTTATTATGTATCTATATAAGGGCTCGATATGCAAATCGATACCTTTTTATTTATTTTTCATGTGCGGCTCGATATATTTAACAAATAAAAAGTGAAATACCGAAGTCGGCGATATAGTAACAAAGTCTGTATGATATAGCACCAAGTGAGAGAGATGAGGGGGTGGAGGCAACGTGCGCCGGAAAAGCAACGTTTGGACTTTGCACTTCTCGATTTTTCTCTTTCTTTCTTTCTTCACCAGTTTATATCCTTTTCTCCTTTTATACATCCCTTAGAAAAATAGACGCGCTTCTGTACTTTGACGATTCTTTCCCGCTTCTTATTTCTTTGTTCGAGGAAGTTTCTGCGTTTTATGGTCTAACAGCTAGAAAAATCGAATCAGACTACTATGGGGGTGAAGGCTGCGAAGACGAAAAAATTACCAGCTGAAATTGGTACACTAAAACTGTCGAATATATTTTACCAAATGATTGGTGACCCTTCGTTTGTTCACAGATTCGTGTAATGATAAAAGGTGTAATGAAAATTGCGTAAAATGCAGTCAAAAACCGAAATGTGGAATCCATGCAAGCTAGAGTTTTTTTACGAAATAAAAGTTTTCCATCGCGTGCGCTTTAAAAAGTTTCTTTATAACTGTTTTGTAGGCAGCAAGTAATGAAACTAAATTTTAAAATCATGAAATCTGATACTTGAGAGTATACATATTTGTAACTACTGCTACTGCCACAGCAATTCGCACCGAATAAAGCAAAAGTTATTAAATACAAGTTTACAGCTTAACGCGAAAAATATGGTACGCCAAGCGAGAGAAAGAGAGAAAGAAGTAGAGGCTAGTATGAGAAAAGAGTAAGAGGAGAAAGGAAAGAGTCAAACCGTGATTTAATGTACTCTATGTGTGTGTATGTGTGTGTATGCACGCGCTAGCGCAAAGGAAAAATCGATATAAAACTCGCAAGTGTTAAAAAGACCGAGGTGGTGGCTACTTAGTCCCGGCGGCGTTTACGAGCTTTTAATGGGGTAGTAGCGCGCGAGAGCATTTTCGAGCAAACTATAAAATTCTGTAATCTCCACGAAGAAAGAGAACGCGCAAAAAATACATGCACCGAAGAGCTAGCAGCAAAAGAAAAGAAGGAGAGAGAAAAGTAACCCTGCCAGTCTCTTGGCGTTGTCGACGGTGGCGGTGGCCAGTGCAAGGCACCGGCATTATATAGAAAAGGAGATCTCGTTGCGAGAATAAGAGAGAGAAAGATCGATGGAAATATGAACGAAGCGGAGGAGAAGACGCGAGATACTTAAGAAAGAGCCCGGGATGTCTCTCACGTGCATGTATATACAGAACGCTCGGCTGATTTTTATTGGCGCTTGACGCTGGTTAGCTATATTATATGCCGTATAAATATATATCTGTGTCTACACACATAGACATGCGCTGGCCATCGGGCAGTCTGTATACGGAGGCTGTAGCTGCACGAAGCGAACGATAACGCGCGTACAATATTTATGCGACCATGGACATTCCTCGGATTTTCCGGACGCGTGCCTATGTGCCGCGCAGCAGCTTCGCACATATGCGGCCGAGTGCGCGACTTTGCTTTTTTGCCTCGTCAAAAACGAGGCTTTCTCGGTATTAATGTCATCTCTCTCGTTCAGCCGCGCGTTCATGTGCGTGCTCTCATAAATAGGTCGTTTATTTTTTTGTCGCCGCGATAAATACTTTCGTTTGCACTGGACTTGCGAATCGCCACTATTCACTGAATTCCTTGCCTGGCACATCCAATACATATAGTTATATATATAATTCTCGGCAACGCGCTCATAGAAGCACTTAATGATTTCATTTAAAGAGTGCGGATGACGTTTAAATTATGAGCTCCGATATTGCAGCCGAGCGCGGCATTTAACTCACTCGTGCAGTACGACTGCTTTAAAGCGCCCTCGAGCTTCAGACGCCCGTATATAATGTGTACGGATTTAATCGAGTTCCGACGAGACGCGCTCAAAGGAAGCCAAGAGCCGCGAAAAATCCATTTAAATTAAATATTTGCTTTGCAGTCGCAAGTGCCAAAAAATGTGTACACGATATAATATATAAGGCGACACTTACCGTAATTTTAAGATCTCTCGGGTCGCAGGTGTCATAGCGACGATTGAAGCGTAGCACGGTGTGCGTTTTATTTTCGTAGCCTGATTGCAAGTGGTAATCCTGACTCGAGTCCATCTGCGGCTCACGGTTGGCACCTTTCACATGGCGATCCTGCAAAAAACACGAAACATCTCGTTAATTTAATTTCTATCTGGCACATGCACGGCTTACACGTGCACCGTGTAACGCCGCAGCGATGGTTTCAAACGGATGATAAGTCAAAAAAATTTGAATAAGAAATCCTGCAGTCGGTGCTGCGTCGAGAGAGTTGCACACATAAATACAGCTTCGAGTGTTGGTTACATTGTAAGATTTAGCCTTTTCCTCTTGCTTGCATTCACTCGCGACGCTCCAAGCAATCATGGATATTTAAACGATACTTGGGATATTATTATGCAGGCTACGTTTGAGGATAAAGGCAAGAATAGAGAGTGCGGTGCGCGTATGGTGGATAAACGCTGCACTTGCGTCTATGCAGGCCGCAGCTCATAAATCACTCGTCACCGTGATGGCGCAGAGCTGCAGTCTGCAGATAGACGCAAACACATAAGTACGTATATAAGCAAATTGATAGTCGAGCTCTTTCGTCCGACGAGCATATACGCGTCAATCGTTGGTCGCTCGCGTGGAAAATTTGAAGGCGCGCGCGCGCTCGAAACCGATCGTGAAAGTTCAAGCCAATTCTCATCCTCGGGGATCTCAGTCAGACGGATACCTGACCCACATTTTGCATATAATAATCTCGCTAATCGTGCGAGCAGTCGAGTGTCATTTCGCAAAAAGTCAAAATGAGACTCGTAAAATCCATGCGTATATAGCCGGGACAATAAAGTGTTTCGAGCGATCGACGGCACGCGCTCAAGTGTGGCACGGATGCAAAATTGGTATGTATAGACTTTGAGCGATCGATGCTCGCGACACTGTACGTGCATAACTGCATACACATACAGAGAGCAGAAACAGCAAGAGTAACAGTGCGGCAAGAGCAGCATCAGCGCATCGCCAGACAGCAGACACACTTGAAAATCTGTGTCGCGACGGCGGAGGTGGTAAGCGTCGTGCAGGCGCCCAAGCAGTCACAAAAGAGAGACGGTCGTCACCCGCCGCCGACACCCGAGCTTATATTCGCGCGACACAGCTGCAGCGGCACCAGTACAGGGCACGAGTAAGTATTACAATTGCCAGAGAGAAGGTGAGAAATTATTCAAGCTGCGGTGTTCCATTGATGAATCGTCTCGTCGCAAGCGTTTGTGTACACACAAACAGTTATTATGCACGCGAGTATCAACAGAAGCCGCTGCTGCATCGCAACTTGTTTTCCACCTTAACATACATCACGAATGTGCACTCGACTCGCTGTTTATAATTAAATTCAATCGTGTATCCCCCTGAACTATATATGTATCAGTCGGGTGTATTTACGCAGGTATACAGTCACGTACACGATGAAAGAACCCAACGAGTACGAATAGTCAAGTACATTTATATCGATATATTCCGATGGGTCCGCGGTGGTCAGGGGCTGCGCCGTACTGCGAGTTGCGGCTACTCATTAAATCTAGTGCCAAGGCAGTTATGAATATCGGTGAGCGTGCCAAGTACACGCGGGTCGTGCGCGCATTAATGAAGCGGTAACAGATGAAATTAAGCATGCCGTTGGTTCGTAGTCTTTTGCGCGTGTATTTTGTGCATGCGAATATGTATAGGTACGTGCCTGAGTCTAGGGCACAATGCTGCATCCATAACCATCTCGCGGGTCGCGTTCGAGAGTGCGTGCGTGCAGCATGTGCCGTCTAGCTCGGATGCGCGTGTGTAAGTGTGCAAGTGTGTATGTATACATACGCGCTGCACACGCATATTCGCACGGGCCGTAATTAAAGTGATTTAAGCACAAGAGAGCATAAAGAAATGTAGGCTGCAGCGACGCCGAGGCAGAGAGGGAGGGCTGGGTTTCGGTAGCTCCATGGCCAATCAGCTCTGCGTGCCGCGACCAAGAGTGCCTCTGCGGCGCGATTGTGAGAGTGCACTATGCGTTCGTGCACAGCAGCCCCGCGTATACACATACACACCCAAGGCTGCGTAATGGCGAGCGCGCAAACGAGAGCGAAGACCTCGTTTGCTGCTAAAGCAAGAAAGAAAAAAGAAGTACGAAGAAAAAAATATATATATACGCGCGTAATAATATACGTGCTATATACGTGTGTGTATGTGTGTGTGTGTGGTGCAGAAGCGCGTGCAACGAGCGGCACGGTAAGAAAAAGAAGCTTTTGTCGCATTTTAACGGTATTATGCGCGAGAGTTGGGCGTAAAAAAGAAGCTGCAGCCGAAAGAAAGATATATATAATATACGAATGTTGTTTGTGGTTCTCCTCTCTTTCTTTCTCTTGCTCTCTCTCTCTCTCTCTCTCTACTTGCACCTCAATCCTCGCACTCGCATGCACTCGTATACGATGAATTAACGATGCGCGGATAATATATAATGAGGAGGAGCGATTTGTTGTTGCGAGAGCCCGAGAGCGAAAGATTTGCACCCAAAAGGATGGCTTTTCGAAAGTTTACATATTATATAAAGATTTCAGACAGTAAATTTTCAGCACGAGTGAGGACGATGGTAAAAATAAATAAAATCAAAAGATACAGGTCGAGTACCGTTGACGGGTTCAATAAAGTGGAAAAATTTCACGAATGACAAATTTTTTCCATCGCGAGAAAAAAGCATTGGCTGAGAGTGCACGAAAATAAAAAAATATTACGAAAACGTATGAAAGGTTCATCAAGCCAGAGGAAATTTTCGGTCCCTCACCTCGCGCAATGTTTCGCTGAAAAGCTCCTCGAGCAGCAAACACAATACCAAGCGCTATATATACATATAGCTTTTGTTCGGCCATATCCGTGAGCGGGATAGAATGCTCAATTTCGTGGAATAGTTAAGGCTGCCAGTTCGCCACGTATATATATGCACATACATATATACCTGGTCGCATATGTGGAACAGAATTAATTCTCACACATGGCTGACCGAGGAGCTCTCGTGGCTGCTGCAGCTCGTGTATTATTCGTCTCGAGGTGCAGACTGCTGCAGCGAGGGACACGACGTGCGAGGCGCGCTCGGCAACGACCGTATCAATTTCGCAGCGGGAGAAACCTCGTTCTTTTTTTGTAAGCTATACCTCCCTCTGACACTTCTTCATCTTTCTCTTTTGCCGAAAGCCAACACCCGAAACCGCATAGCACGCACGTATACACGAGCACATGCACACACATACTGACACGCGGTGGTGACGGCGGATGCACGCATGCACGCACTCTACGCGGCTATACATGTGCGTGGCACTGCAGAAGAAGCAAAAAATCTCAGCGAGCTCGCCGCGCAGATGCTGTATACGTTTTGCATATTCCAGCTCCAGTGCTGGGAAATGCATTTCGGAACTTTATATACAGATTACACAAAATACGAATATATCATACTTAATATAGATCCTCGATCGAGTGGTGCGTAAAATTTTTTTATTTAAAATTCTGATGAAGATTAGGCGAAAAAAGAATACGTGAGTTTGAAAACTCGCCCAAAAGATATCAAATATTCTGATGGGCTTAATTTTTACTTTCAAGCAGAATAATTATAAGCAGAAATTCTTTAAGCCGATGTGCGTACAATAGGTAAGGCAGCGCCACACGGGCCACATTTCATATAATTATTTCTCTTTGCCGTCAAAGTGCCCCTGCGCATTGTTTTCAACTGTTGCTTTATTAAAATTTTATTCCAAGGCTGCGTGTGTGCGCGCGCGATACTTTTGTACGCGTGTATTATACTTTATACTATAATATTACGGGATGAGAAAGGAGGCAAAAAAAAAGAAAAAGAAAAGAAATTTGCCGAGCCTCGTCGACGAGGGTGACGACGCGAGTCACGCGCACTTCGCATTTAAGCTGCCTTCACTGCCACGCCATACGCTACCCCCGCAAAGTGTATTATATCGTATTATTCGCCCACTTTCTTTTCTTTGCGTGCGCGACATGGGAAGGTGTTTTTTCTTTTGCGCGTGTACGTAAGTTTGACTGTAAAGTCCAGCGCGAAATCGCTCTTTACGTATTACGTACAACACCGCAGCTGGCCCGTGTAGTGTATGTACGTGCGTGCATGTTTACAAAAGATGAATAAAGTATAATTGGGGAAAAACTGGGCTGTATTATTATTTGGATTCTAAGCGAGTTCCAGCTGCATTACCAACCCAGTTTCGGTAAAGTTTGCTCTTTTATACATTCTTGCGAGTAATAAAGATTTCAACTTAAGCTAAGAGATAATGGTTCAATTCGAACAAATGTTGAGAGAGGGAGGAAGGCAAAAAGAGGGAGAGAAAGAGAAGAGATAATTTGATAAGTTTCGAATGCACTGATAAAATATACCGTACTATATGTATAGATCTTAAGTATATTATCCGATTACCTAGCGAGCAAAGCAAACGCGCGTCGTCCAATCGTAAATTTGCAGATATAAAGTAAAAACGAGATTTTTCGCAGATATATGTTTATAGATGTGTGCGTGAGTAGTGTAAGTAGATATTTCATGCACACGCTATATAACTATGGCAACGCTCGTGTTCTTATCGGAGCATTAAAAAGTTACAAGGACCTATGCTTTATACGATATTTACAGCTTCGAGCGAATAAGCGAACCGATTAAGACTGAACAACTCGAGTCTCAATCGGCTCTATTTTTATCCAACGAGAGAAATTGATTTTCTCATTCATGTACAAAAGAGCTTTGAGGATCGATAGAATCGTATCGGGTTGAACATTTTGAGACATAACTCCATTTCATTGGACTATTTCTGCAAATATGTTTACAGTGCTTACAGTTCTAATATTAATGTAAGCCGAGGTAAAAACGCGTTGTAAGCAAGAAATAAATTGAAAACGGCGACTCGGCCGACGCAACCAATACGAAAGAAAAAGAACTTTGCGAGGTTGCCGAGAGGTTGTACACGCGTGCCTTAACGTTGGTCAACATTTTGACAAGTAAGACGTGGCCAAACAGCAGGGCACCCCACGTGGCTCGCTGCGCGTTAAGCTCTCGCGTATACGGTCAAAGCTTTGCGAGAAGCCTCGCT